TAGGAATGGCAGCGAGTTGGCTGCCTGAACTAGTTCACAGGCGTGACTCCATAACTCTGTAACCTTGGGGCAGCAACAGTTTTGAATACAACAGTGCTGGGGTTAAGAGGAGGTTAATCTCAGGTTTGTGTATTACAGATCCTGTGAGGAGCTTTGGGTTTGTGTCAATTGTGGCACCCCTTGTGGACAAAGAAAGCTTTGCTTCATGAATAAAAAGTGTATTAAAAAAAATAATCATCCTGCTAACTTTTGACAGTCAAATGCATAATTTATCGTAAATATTTTATATGGAATTTGTAAAACCTCTTGAGAAGTTTCAGACATTCAAAATCAACAGTTAGTTTTTGATATCATAAAAAAGGCATCATGATGAAATTTAGTCTATTTTATATTTGTCACAAATTATAACTAGCACCCCACAGGACACCAATAGGCACCAGCCGTGTCGCGCTGCCAACTCTTGCCAACTCTCAGGACAAGTCCTGAATTATTATTATTATTATAAATATAAATATGCTACAAAAGTGTGGCATATTTATATTTATAATAATAATAATAATAATTCATTTTATTTTTATAGCACTTTTCAAGGTACTCAAAGACACTTTACATAAAGCACACAATGTGAATATAGCAATAAGATAGAATAAATAAATATAAATAAGTAAAATAGTCACATGTTAAAAGCTATTTTAAAAAGGTAGGTTTTCAGATGGGATCTGAAGGAGGGCAAGTCAGTGCAGGATCTGATATGGACTGGGAGTTCCAGAGGGAGGGTGTGGCAATGGAAAAAGCCCTGTCCCCCCAGGTGGGGGGCGGAGGAAAGCGATGTTTCTGAGGTGGAAATAGGCGGTACTTGTGATGTGGTTGATATGTTGTTCGAAGGAAAGGTTCTTATCAAAGATGACACCAAGGTTCTGGATGTGTGGGGAGGGTGGAGTTGTCGATGGAGAGGTGGAAGTTGTGGGCGCTGTTGATGGAGGTCTTGGGGCTGATGATGGTGAGTTCCGATTTGTCGGTGTTCAGCTGGAGGAGGTTGGTTTGCATCCATGATTTTATATCGGTCAGGCAGTAGGTGAGGGTGGAATGCGTTGTGGTGGTGATGGATTTGGTGGTGATGTACAGTTGGACGTCATCAGCGTAATAGTGGAAGTGTAGGCCATGACAACGGATGATGTTGCCAAAGGGGGAGCATGTAGAGCATGAAGAGGAGGGGGCCAAGTACTGAGCCTTGGGGGACGCCATGGAGCAGAGGGGCGGTGGGGGAAGTGCAGTTATTGATGCTGATAAACTGGTGTCTGTCTGTCTGTAAGGTAGGATTGTAACCAGGAGAGGGCAGTGCCAGTGATATTTTTATTGTGGACTTACACAGCTTCTCTTCGGCATATTTATATTCTGGACTTACACGGGACCTCTGTCGCATACTAATATTTATATTGTGGACTTACACTTCCTCTGCTGCATATTTAGATTTATATTCTGGACTTGCAAAGGACCTCTGATGCATTTTTATATTTATATTTTTATTGTTGACTTACACAGGACCTCTGCTGCATATTACACTATTTCTATTTCTTTTTAAATTTATATTTTTATAGTGTGGACTCTTATAGGACCTCTGCAGTGTATTTACATTTATAGTGTGGACTTATACAGGACTTTTGCTGCATATTTCTTTTTCTATTCTGGACTTGCAAAGGACCTCTGCTGCATTTTTATATTTATATTTATATTGTGGACTTACACAGGACTTTTGCTGCATATATATATTAATATTTATATTGTGGACTTACACAGGACCTCTGCTGCATATTTATATTCTGGACTTACACAGGACTTTGGCTGCATATTTTTATTAGCACATTGATATGAAATGCTTGTGGTACTGATAGAATGTAATATTGCAAGACTTTTGCTCAGTAGCAATAAGTTGGTGGCTCTGAAAAGAGCCATTGTGGTGTGTTGCTTTGCAGGGTATTGCACCCTCTGCTTATAAAATATGCTGTGAAGGCTTTCCTAAACCCGGAAGGGTTCTCTGGATAAGTTGTTGGATCCATCTCTACCCAGACCTGGCAGTAGCTGCACCTCACTGCTCCCTAACTCTGCAGATGCCTCAGCTGACCTCCGTATGTAGTTGTGGAGAACACAGGTTGTCTTCCCACATTTCTCCACAACATCTGGATTGACCTCAATGGCGCGCCCATATATCCTCCACTAAAGGCGTTCCCACAACCAGACAAGCTTGTGACAGACGATAGTTGAGGAACCTTCTCTGTTCTTTCTTGGTGACCAGGAGGAGCTCAGGTGTTAAAGTAAGTATCAGGTGTTAGAAAGAGTGGGACAAAAGTTAATAAGAGAGAAAATCTTTGAAAAACAAAGATTGTTGATATTATGTCAGACTCAAAAACTCTTACTTACTTTCTTCCACTGGAGGCAAACACAGCAGCTCAGGTACAAGAGAGAACAAGAAGAACTGGGGCCTTATGTATCAATACTTGCGTGGAACTCATACCAGAAACGAGCGCACGCAAAGTCCGTCACGCTGAAAAAAATCTGTATGTATCAAGGTGTGCGGGCGCCGAAATCCACGTGTGTTTCCTTGATAAATCCCAATCAGCGTGGAATTGAGCGCAGATGTCGGAGTGACTGGGCCCGCCCCCATTACGCCCTGACATAAATATGCAGATTTATTTAAATGGGGTCTCCCTGTCCTCGCACGCAGACAAAATGACAAGAAAAACTAAATTTACGGCGTGCGAGGTGGAGGTGCTGGTGGCGGAGGTGGAGGAGCGACAGCGTGTTTTGTTTGGCAGCCTGTCCAGTGGGGTCAGTGCAAAACGAAAACGCTTGGAGTGGGAGAAAGTTTGCGAGAGGGTGAACGCGGTGGGTTCCGAGACACGCAACCCCGCGGAGATTAAAAAAAAAGTGGTCGGACCTCAAGGTGGAGGTCAAGCGGCGTACAGCTGCCCTCCGGAGGAGTACCGGCCAGACAGGTGGGGGTCCGGGGGAGGAGACCCTCACGCCGTTTGAACAGCGGGTTGTGGCGATTATTATTATAGGGTAAGTGGCGTGTCACACAAATGTCCACATGCTTTGCCATCCCACTGAGCAAAAGACGTATATTAGACGTCTAGTCTAAGTTTATACTTCATTTCAACATCGGGATTCAGTCTATTTTAAGACGTGATTTATACTTCGCCCATAACTTCATTTTTCGATAACTTTTTATGCAATAAACAACTGTAATGTGCATAACTGACCTCTAAACACTGGATTACATTACCTATGATACCGTGGAGAGAGATGTAAACGCAACAGATACACAGAAGCAGGAATTGAAATGAACCAATATTTTTATTGGGTCACAGAAATCAATGTGTCGGCCGTGTCGCCGGCTTGCGGAACCCCGGCCCGCGGCAGCCCGTCCGCCGGTTCGGAGTCGTCGGCCAGGACCAGCGGCATTCGGGCCACCCCGGCCCCCGGCCCCAGCACCAGCACCAGCATCAGCACCAGCGTGCCGACAAGCGGTGGAGCGTCCACCAGCCGCGGCGCTTCGGCTGGACCACCCGGACGCAGTGGAAGGGTCCTCACGGAGGCGGTCCTGCAATCGCAGGAAGAAATCATCAGGGGGATCGCGGGGATCAACGAGCGGCTGGACCGGCTCGTAAATGTCCTCGAGCGTCTGGTGGCGAAAATAAATTAATTTGGCTCATTGAACTGTGTATTCACTTCTTACCCATTGACACTGTGGCGATGAGATTCTCCCGCATGAGGACGGCGGCCCGGCAGGGATCAGCTCGCATCCCTCCGTCTGCTGCTGGTTCGTCATGTGGGGCGACGTGCTGCTCGGCCACGGGGATGTGGTGCAGCTTGTCACATAGTGAGTCACCAAACACCGCCACACAGCGTCGCCAAAGTGCCGTCAACGCAAGTATCAGCTCAACGCCAACTTCTACACCACCTCCTCACTTTGCGTTGATTAGCGCTGGAACCGACGCTCGTTTCGCGATGATAAATCTGGACGTGTGTGCCGATTTTGGCGTACGCAAGGTTTTCTGGCGCCGCCAGCGTTGATACATAAGGCCCCTGGTCTGTTAGACTGACAAATACTCTTTGAAAGATCATGAGGGAATCCATAGTGTTGCAGGAGTTTCCAGATGGTGTCTCGATCCACACTATCAAAGGCCCTCTCAAGGTCCACGAATATTAGATAGAGAGAGGACTGCCATTCAACGGACTGCTCGATTATCATGCGCAGAGTAGCGATATGGTCTGTATAGGACCTGTCCTGGTGAAACCCTGCTTGCTCTGGCCTTAACCTTTTGTCCAGGGCTTCCTTCAGTCTGTCCAGGATGACTCTGGTCAGGACCTTACTAGGGACATGATTCCTCACCAATTCCCACATTGCAACAGATCGCCTTTTTTGGGTAGTTTGCCCAGGTGACCTCGCCTCCAGTCTGCTGGAACTTGCTCCTGCTTCCAGATCTTCTGTAGGAGGGGCTGCAGCATCTCTGCTGATGTTGTTGGGTCTGCCTTGAGTGCCTCAGGAGGGATACCATCTGGTCCACCAGCCTTGCCGTTCTTCATCTTTTTGGTGGCCTTGGTGATTTCGGCTTTCGTTGGCGGGTTTTTGTTCGCATTATGCTGTTCAGTTGCTGGTGGTACATTGGGAACAGCCAGTGGAGGCAGTCGGTTTAAGACTTCCTCAAAGTGTTCCACCCACCGGCTTCTCTGTCCTGCCTCACTGGTGATGGTCTTGACGTCTTTATCCCTTACTGGCTTGCTTGGGTTGGCGTTTTTTCCTGTCAGCATGCGTGTTATTTCGTGCAGTCTCTTCATGTTGTTCTGTCTGGCTGCCATTTCTGCTTCTTCGATCATGTCATGAATAAATCGCCTTTTGTCACCTCTTGCACTTTTCTTTACTTGATGGTTCACCTCTGCATACTTTGCTTGCATGCCTTTTTTCTCATGTGGATCTTGACATTGGTTGATCTTCTGTTTCAACTTTTCCTCTGTTCTATCTTTTCCCATGTCTCTGGTGTCAGCCACACTTTAAATTCTCGCCCCTTCTTGCCCAAAACTTCTGCGCACATGGTCATCCAGGTGTTCCTGAGTTCCGTCCAGTGAGTTTCAACAGGTGTTTCATTTAATCCTGCTACTGTCTCAAGGTTACTCTTGACTTTGCAGTTGAATTCTTCTTTTTTCCTGATTTTCCTTAGAAACTGGACATTGAACTTATGGTGTGGTCTGTCTGTTGTGGTGTGGAATGATCTCATTTTGACTCTCATTGTAGCCACTAGTAGCTGGTGGTTTGATGCTACGTCTGCTCCATGTTTCACCCTGATATCCAGCAGACTTCTCCACTTGCGAGAAACTGTGATGTGGTCAATCTGCTTCTCTGTTTTTCCATCTGGTGAGATCCAGGTGGTCTTGTGGATTTTCTTGTGTGGACAAATCGTGCCACCGATGACTAGGTCATTGAAGGAACAAAGGTCTGTGAACAGCTCCCCATTTTCATTACAGATGCCAATGCCATGTCTTCCCATTATGAACTCTTTGCCTGCATTGTCCTCCCCCACCTTTGCATTTAGGTCTCCCATGATGATCTTCAGGTCTCTCTTCAGTGTGCGATCAATCAAAGATTGTAAGGAACTGTAGAAGTTTTCTTTTTCCTGTTCCTCGGCCACGTTGGTTGGTGTGTAGCATTGAATGATTGTGCACTTCCTTCCTCTGGAGTTGAATCTCGCTGACATGAGTCGTGAGGGTACTGGTTCCCACGCCATCAATGCCTTTGTGGCCTCTGGTGTCATCATCAGCGCTACTCCTTGGGTGTGGTCATGGCCCAGGTCTTTATGGCCAGAGTAGATGATGGTCTCCCCTGAAGTCAGTCTGGTTTGGCCACTTCCGTTCCATCATGATTTGCTTAAACCAAGGAGTGTGATATTATATCTCCTCATTTCGCTTGGAACTTGAGCTGATTTGCTGCTCTCATACAAGGTTCTGATGTTCCAGGTACCTATCCTGGTTTTTGCCTTCATCTTCAGTAGATTCTTCGGTGAGCTGGCTTCCATTTGGTTTTGACCCGCATATGTCATGGGCTCTTCTACAGAGGAATCTCTCAGACTAGGCTTATGCTGTAGTAGTGTGTTTGCAGTTTCTGTAGCATATGCGATTTTCTACAAGTTGGAGTTGCTAGCCCCAAGCCCCAAACCCAACCTTCCACCATTTCTGGCTTCAGGTGTATTTTGGAATTGGTTTGTTAGTCCCCTTCCTCTAACCTTTTGTCCTCTAGGCAATGGATTACAGTCTCATACCACGTGAGACCAGACGAGTTCTGGGTCGTGGACAAGCTGCCCCAGCACGTCAAGCCCAACCAACTCCTGCTACCGTGTAGTAAAAGCTGTAGCCGAGGCACGCATTTCCTACCAGCAGCACGAGAAAGAAGCAGAGCAAGAAGAAGCAGAGAAAGAGGAAGCAGAGGAAGAGGAAGCAAAGGGATCAGAGGAAAAGAAGGAGGAGAGGGATAAGAGAAATCAGAGGGAGGAGGAGAAAATGCAGGAGGAGGAGGGACATAGTAAGTAAGTAAACTTTATTTGTATAGCACTTTTCACCGACAAAAGAGTCACAAAGTGCTTCACATAGACAAAAATAAAAAGATGTACATACAAATTAAAAGGCCAAGATAACATTTAAACAGTCATAGTAGCCCCAAAAACAATTAAACAAATGCTTGAGCAAACAAATAAGTTTTAAGTTGGCTTTTAAAGGAGCCAACAGAATCAATTAAGCGCAGAGAGAGAGGAAGATCATTCCAAAGCCTGGGGGCAACAGCCTTGGAAGGATCTGTCTACTCTGATCTGATCCATCACCACCACATCTGTATCAGTAGATTCTGATCCACGGACCTCAGAGCCCGAGAGGGGGTGTAAGGCTGGATCAGATCACAAATATAAGATGGAGCCTGACCATGCAAGGCTCTAAAAGTTAGGACCAGGGTTTTAAAAATGATCCTTGAGGACACAGGCAGCCAATGTAGTGCTTCAAGAATAGGGGATATGTGAGTCCTCCTATTAGCGCGGGTTAGAATTCTTGCTGCAGAGTTTTGCATTAACTGAAGATGAGACAGCTCCTTTTTGTTTAGACATGAAAACAAACTGTCACAGTAGTTTAAACGTGACGACACAAAGGCATGAATGATGAGTTCCAAATTTTTTTTGCAACACCATTTTCCTAAGCTTAGCGATTTTCCTCAGTTGAAAGAAGCCGTTTATCGTCAACTGTTTAAAGTGTTGCACTAAGGACATGTGTTTGTCAAAGATGACACCCAGGTTTCTTAGGCTGGGTTTAGCTGACTGGCCTAAGTCACCCAAGTACTGTTTAATCCCTGGAATTGAATCATCAGGGGCAATAACCAGGGTTTCTGTTTTGTCAGCATGTAGCTGCAAAGAGTTTTCACTAAGCCATTTTTTAATTTCCTCTAAGCAGTGGACTAAGGAGTTAAGCTTCTGGATCTCCGTAGGCTTAAAGGTGCAGTAAAGCTGGATATCATCAGCAAACAGGTGGAATGACACATCACTGAACCTTTGGATGATCTTTCCCAAAGGGATCAGGTACAGCAAAAATAACACAGGACCCCAAACGGAACCTTGAGGGACACCACACAACAGATCCACTGAATCAGACATTATATGGTTAGCTGTAACACTAAAGCTACGACCAGATAAATAGGAGGAGAACCAATTAAGGACTAGCCCTGATAGACCAACTTGACAGGATAAGGTGATCAACAGTATTGAAGGCTGAGGACAGATCCAAGAGCACTAGAACGGAGCATTTTCTTGAGTCGGCCGACATCATAATGTCGCTGGACAATCTTAGTAAAGCTGTTTCTGTAGAGTGATGCTTGGGGAACCCAGACTGAAATGTCTCATGGATGTTATTTTGATTCAGAAACAATGACAACTGTTCTGAGACCACTTTCTCTAAGATCTTGGACAAGAACAGGAGCTTGGAAATAGGCCTGAAATTATTAAGGTCAGTCGGAACTAAGCCTGCTTTTTTGAGTAAAGGCTCGACTATGGCATGTTTAAAAGCACTGGGAAACACACCAATGGAGAGGGAGAGGTTAACCCTTTTAGTAACCCAGGGACCAATTACATCAAACCCATTTCCAAAGAGCATACAAGGAAGGACGTCAGAAGAGCAAGAGGAGGGTTTCATCTTGGTCACCAAATCAGCAATATCATCAAGGGACACAGGCTTAAATGAGGACCACGTGCTGGAGACATAATAGGTGGCGGGATTTTGTCCTTAATTGTCTTAATTTTGTTACTAAAAACTCTCAGAAAATCATTGCTGTCAGCTTCACAGAAAATAGGGATAGCTGGAGAAGCAGGACAGACAAGACAATTTATCGTGTCAAACAACACTTTGGGGTTTTTCTTATTAACTATTACCAGCTGACGGATATATTCAGATCTAGCATTTTCCACCATATCATTGTATGAGGACACAAGATCCCTAAGATAAAGCCTGTGCACCTCGAGGTTGGTGGATTTCCACAGGCGCTCAGCCTTTCGTCAAAGTCTCTTGAGATTAGAGATGTCTTCATTAATCTAAGGGCATGCTTTTTTCTGAGTTGACAAATTCGATTTGACAGGAACCACCTGATCCAGGATTTTTACACAATGATCATCAAAACAGTGCATGAAGTGGTCCACATCAAGGCAGTTCATAAAAATGAGAGGGTCAAACATAGAGGAGAAATCATCTGCGGTTTTTGCAGAGATAACACGTCTCGGGGACCTAACTTTTGGGGGCTTAGGCTCAGGGCTGAAGAGCAGATCAAACAAAACAATACTATGATCACTCATGTGGACATCATTTACAGTCACATTTGAAAGGTGTAGGCCAAGTGTAAAAGCTAAGTCTAAAATGTGGCCTTTTTGATGTGTGGGCATTGAGACAAGTTGCTCAAAATTAAAAGCGTCAGTCAATGTTAAAAGATCTACTGCAGAGCCAGATGAGCTGTCATCCACATGAAGGTTAAAATCTCCAAGGATTAAAGCAGATTCCAACTTTATTATGGCAGATAAAAAGTCACTAAAATCCTTTAAAAAGACAGCAGCAGGGCCAGGAGGACGGTAGATTAATACACAGTAGAAGAAGAAGCAAGAGAGGGAGCAGGGGAAGAAGCAGAAGGGTTAGCAGGAGTAGGAGGAGCAGCAGCAGAAGGAGGAGGAGGAGCAGCAGCAGGAGCAACATCAGGAGGAGGAGCAGCAGCAGGAGCAGCGAGCTGGAGGGCACCACCTGAGGGAGGAAAAGTATCAAAGGGTCAAAATCTGTGCATCCATAAAAGAGAATCATGAGGCTTACAGGATCATTCATGGTATTCTACTGTTTGACTTTTCATGACCACTTATCAGCGATAACTGCAGTTAAGATACCGATTTATGACACTCACTCTCTTCCTTGTATACATATTGTGTGAATATTTTTTATAGTACATTTGTAAGGGAGTATCTGAGTTTGTATGGTAATGCCAGTCAGCATGGTGCGCGCCTTCACTTTCGGTAAAGGGATCATCCGCATTCTGCTCTCTGTCAGTGTAGTGGCAGAAATAATGGCTGACACACAATCAATTATTAATATTTTGTAACTCCTTTTTGTCTTTTACTCAAAGATGCACAGTGCCTGCATTACACTTCACTCTCAACACTTAAATACATGTCTATCTATTATTTAAACAGACCTCATATCATTTCAATAGCCTAACCATCACTTCCAATGCATAACTAATAAGCTTTCCAAGGCATGCATGCTCATTCCTCCTAATTCAGGTTTGCTCCTCACAGTTTCAATATCTCCAAGTTACGAACAAGTTTTTTGTTAAACATTTGAAAGAAGTGGCATAACATTCGAAAATAACGGTTAAACGTTCGGAAAAAGTGGCCCAGGTGCCATTTTTGCTAATGTTATTTCTACAGTTAATTTTGAAAGTTTTTGAAAACTTTTTTTGACCATTTTCCCCATGCAAAATTAAAAATTTCTGACATTAAAACGTGGTTTTGGGTTAAGCTATCTTAGAGTGAAATCCATAACTCCGCTCCCACAACTGGTTAATTAAACTTCAAATTACTGTCGATCTTTACACTTTAATCCTACTTGGTAGATATAAACTTTATATAAAATCATTTAACGTGCAAAGTTGAGAGAAAAGAGAGGGTTTTAATGTGAAATTTTAAAGCTGTCTCACTTCTCACTGGACAGGATGTGCTCCGCCCGGCATCCGTTGGAAGCCATCTTCCGTTTATTTCGGACTAACAGGTGTTTTTCGTCTGTGTTTTTTCCTTCTTGGTGCTCTCTTTGGGTGTTTTCTTCTTCTCGATGAAGTCAGGTGTTTGTAGTCCAGGTGAAGTTAGCTTTTCCAAAATATCGTCTTCTCAGTTGAAAGTTGTGCGCAAGCCGACCAGAGGTTCAGTTTGTTTTGATTTGAAAGGTAGCAAACATTACAAATTTAAAGCTAACCACGAGCACGCATCACCTGTCTGTTACCATGGCTGTCAGTGACGTGCAAGCAATAGTATATGCAGTTCAGTATATGCAGTGCAAATTATGATGACGATGCACTCCTTAAAAGGGGCACTACACACCTTTAATAGAGGGAAAACAAAGAAAAACAAATGTTTAATTCAGAAATTAAGCATTTAGTCAATCTTTATTCAGTTTTAAATCAATCCCATATCTCAAGCTGAAATTCTCATTTCAGAAAGAACTTAGAAAATTAAATGATCTGTTTATTACAGGATAAATAATGTTACAAAATAATGGTGATAAATGATGATGAACTATGATTATTGCAGTAAATGATAGAGTTAATTGAGAGCTCCAACATATCAACCTGCGTTAACTTTGCTGTAGAATTGTAGAATGAATGTAGAATTTGGATGAATTTAGGATTTCTCCAATTAGTGATAGTGATAGAAGCAGCCCTGTTTAGAGCTCTGGAGATTTGTAGGCTGTATTTAAGTGAGTCTGGTCCTTGGAGAGGATGGAGCAGGTTCTCAGAAGTCAATCTTTTGTATATGAAGGTAAA